GCACTTACGAGAAACAAGTTTGTTTCTTTTATAGTCACTGATACAGTAGTGGTTAAAGTTGTCATATGCATTAATATTCATTAGACTTATTTTATAAAACCTTCTGGATTGTTAATTTTTTATTTGAAATTTGCACTTGAGTTATATACCACAACTCTATATTTATTAGGTTGGTGATTTAGTTACCATTGCTCAAGTGGTCATTCATTATGCTTTCCAAAATTTTTCTTCAGAGTAATAACACATTATATGATAGATGGCCTTTTTAAAAAAAACTTGCATTAAAACTTGTGTCTTTAGCTTGGCTCGATGGCTCAGCCTGTAATCCTGCACCTTTGGGAGGCTGAGGTGAGTGGATTGCCTGAGCCCGTGGGTTCGAGACCCGCCTGGGCAGCGAGACCTCATCTCTACAATAAATCAAAAAATCAGCCTGGCATGGAACGCGCGCCTGTAATTCTGGCTACTCTGAAGGCTGAGGTGGAAGGATCGCCGGAGCCCAGCAGGTGGAGGCTGCGGTGGCCGGGAGTGGCCACTGCACTCCAGTCTGGGCGACAGAGTGAGACTCCAACTCAAAACAAAACAAAACAAAACAAAAAACTTGTGTCTTTAGCCAGCTGAGCATTAGTTTGTTCACTAAACAAAATTTGAGACCCACCATCACTCCCTCCCTCATCTCGTCCTCTTCCTCCTCCTCTTCCTCCTTTTTCTCTTCTTTTCTCTCTTTCTCTCTCTCTCTGTCTCTTTCTCTCTCTCTGCTTCTCTCTTTCTCTCCTTGTCTCTCTTTGTGCGTGTGTCTCTCTGCCTCTCTTTTTCTCTCCTTGTCTGTGTGTGTGCATCTCTCTCTCTTTTTCTCTGTGTCTGTGTGTGTCTATGTGTGTCTGAGTGTTTGTGTCTCTGTGTATATGTGTGTGTGAGTCTCTCTCTGTGTGTGTGTCTCTCTCTCTCTGTATCTCTCTGTATCTCTCTGTGTGTGTGTGTCTATGTCTGTGTGTCTCTCTCTCTGTCTGTGTCTGTATATATGTTTGTGTCTCTGTGTATATGTGTATCTCCCTGTGTATGTGTGTCTGTCTCTCTGTGTCTCTCTCTGTGTATGTGTGTATCTCCCTCTGTCTCTGTGTGTGTCTCTCTCTGTGTGTGTGTCTCTGTCTCTCTGTCTCTGTGTTTATATGTGAGTCTGTGTGAATTTGTGTGTGTGAGTGTGTGTGTGTGTGTGTGTGTGTGTGTGTGTGTATGTGTGTGTGTGTCAGAGAGAGAGGGAGAGTTCCACCTGCTTGTGGCATCTTCAGGGCTGGTATACAGCCCAGGGTTCTGTGATGCCAAGTTCAGTATGGCACCTGACTGGTAGTTAGGAGAGATCACTGTATAGATTAGTAAATGACTTGGAACTCAGAAACATGCAAAAGGATGTTGCCTCAAGGTCTGATAGGGAGATAGCCTGAGGGCTAAGAAGATTCCTGAATGTGTCTCATCCAGGTGACAGATCACTGTAGAGAGGATGCCCAGAGGGATGGAGGAACAGAGCAGGGGTGAAGCCTTGGAAATATGCTTTAGGCATGTGCTCAGGGCACAGCATGAGTGGGAGCTCTCAGGCACACACTGAGGAGGGAGTGACACTGTGGCCATGAGGACAAGTCACTCACATGGGAAGTAGCTCTGGCTTTGAATGGTGGATTTTCTTCCCTGAAACACAAACTCTGAAGGCACTACAGCAGGAGATAGAATGGAAAGATGAGATGAACCACAGACAGCCTGGAATGCCATCGCAGGATATGGAGGGAGAGTGGCTGCTTTTAGATGGCACAGGACAGGTGGAATGTGTTGGGGTTCTACAACATGGGGACACAGAGGGTGTTGGGGTCCTACCATGTGGGAAGATGGAGGGTGTTGGGTTCTTACAACATGGGGACATAGAGGATTTTGGGGTCCTGCAATGTGGGGAGAAGAAGGGTATTGGGGTTCTGCAATGTGGGGAGACAGGGTATTGGGGTCATATAAAATGGGGAGATGGAAGGTGTTAGGGTCCTACAATGTGGGGAATATGGAGGGTATTGGGGTCCTGCAACATGAGGAGACAAAGGATGTTGGGGTCATATAACATAGAGTATTGGGGGTCCTACAATGTGGGAAGATGGAGGGTGTTGGGATTGTACAACGAGGGGAGACAGAGGGTGTTCGGTTCCTACAACATGGGAGATGAAGGGTATTGGGGTTCTATAACATGGGGAGATGGATAGTGTTGGGGTCCTACAACATGGAGAATAGATGGTGTTGGGGTCCCACAACATGGAGAGACAGAGGGTGTTGGGGTCATACAATACAGGGAGAGGGAGGGTGTTTGGGTCCTACAGCATGAGGTGATGAAGGGTGTTGGGGTCCTATAACGTGGGGAGACAGGATATTTGGGTCATATAACATGAAAAGACAAAGATGTTGGAGTCCAGCATGGAGAGATGGAGGGTGTTGGTGAACTACAACATAGGGAGATGAAGGGTTTTGGAGTCCTACACATGGGGAGATGAAGAGTTTCGGGGCCTTACAACACGAGAAGAAAGATGTTAGGGTCATACAGTATATGGAAATGGAGAGTATTGGGGTCCTACAATGTGGGAAGAAGGAGGCTTTTGGGGTTGAACAGTGAAGGGAGACTGAGGGTGTTGGGTTCCTACAACATGGGAGACAAAGGGTGTTGGTATCCTGCAACATGGGAAGACAGAGGATATTGGGGCCATACCATATGGGGAGATGGAAGATGTTGGGGTCCTACAACATGGAGAGATGGTGAGTATTGAGGTTGTGCAACATGAGTAGATGGGGTGTTGGGGTTACACAACATGGGGTGGTAGAGGGTATTGGGGTCCTGTAAAGTGGGAGAGATGAAGAATGTTGAGGTTGTACAATGTGGGTGGATGGAGGGTGTTGGGGTCATATAACCTGGGGAGGCAGAGGGTGTTGAGGTCCTACAATGTGAGGGAGTGTTGGGGTCATATAACCTGGGGAGGCAGAGGGTGTTTGGGGTCATACAACATGGGGAGATGGAGGAGGGTGTTGGGATTGTACAATGTGGGGAGATGGAAGATGCTGGGGTTCTACAATGGGGAACATGGGGAAGTGGATGGTGTTGGGGTCCTACAATGTGGGGGAGATGGAGGGTGTTGGGGTCATACAATGTGAGTAGACGGAGGGTGCTGGGGTCATACTACATGGGGATACAGAGGGTATTTGGGTCTTACAACGTGGGACAGATGAACGATGTTGGGGTTGTTCAGTGTGGGGAGATAGAGGGTGTTGGGGTCATACAACAGGTGGAGACAGAGGGTGTTGGGTCCTACAGCATGGGAAGATGGAGGGTATTGGGGTTGTACAATGTGGGGAGATATAAATGTTGGAGTCCTTCATCCTAAGGAGATGGAGGGTGTTGGGGTCCTACAATGTAGGGAGATGGGGGTGTTAGGGTCCTACAACATGGAGGAGATAGATGGAGGTGTTGAGTCCTACAGTATGGAGAGACATGGATATTGGGGTCATACAACATGGGGAGACAGGGTGTTAGGATCCTACAACATGGGGAAATAGATGGTATTGGGGTTCTGCAACACAGGGAAACTAGTGAGTTGGGGTTCTTTAGGCTGCTCCTGCTCTGCTGAGGCTGTCCTGGCCCTGCCAGGGCCTCTGGAGACCCCTCCACCCTGAACCCACTCCTCCCCTGCCCACCCTTGCCCTGGCCTTAGGGTGCTGCTCTGCCAAGTGTTTCCTGGCCCTTCCATCTAGATCCAGAGCCCTTCTGTATGGACCCACCATGCCTGGTCATGACGTTTATGAGGCACATTTCATCATTTGCTTGGTCATCCCTGCTTCGTGGACTGAGTCTGAGGTGACTGAGACTGAGTGTGTTTGTTCACCATCTGCTCGTGCTTGCCCAGGGCCCAGCAGGAGCAGGTGTTCACTGGCCGTTAGACCATGGATATCTGAGGACTTATTCCCAAGCCCAGCACTCAGTGGTTCTCAGCCATGATGGTGGCTCTTCTGTCTCTTGCCATGAGCATCTGCCGCTACCATCCCGCACATGAGCGGCAGTGGCAGATGTGTGCATAGGTGTGCTCAAGACTGAAGTGTGGCCATTAGGTGTGACATACTGGAAAGTTACAGCTGTTTTTACAGGGAGTAGAAGCCAGTTTATGATGTGTGAGAAGCAGGTGCAGGACAAGGAAATAGAGACCAAGCAGAGACAGGTTGTAGGAGAGAAAATGCAAGGAAAGGTGGGGTGAGAGAGGGTGAGGAGGAAGTGTGGGCAGGTCAGGGCTAGGCAGGGTCCCTGGACAACAGGCATGGAGGTGGACAGGCCTCCAAGTAGGGGGTGGTCTCCATCATGATAGGAAGGCTGGATGGGTGCAGGGACTGGTGTAGGGTCCAGGCCTCCATATAGGAGGCACCTTCATCATGACAGGGAAGAGGCTGGGTGGGTGCAAGGACAAGTGCAGGGTCTGGGCCTCCACTTAGGAGCCATCCCTATCATGTTCGGGAGACTGGGCAGGTGTAGGGACAGATGCAGAGTTCCGGGTCTCTATCATGACACATTATCGCACAGGTAATGTGTCAATGACAATTGTGTCGATAGCCCAGAAAGGAGGCCCAACATGTCCAGCCACACACGTTATCTCAGCACCACCAGGAAGCGGACCTTGGAGGGGTGGGAGTTTTGGTTTTGGAGTTTGTTGTTTATTGTTGAGGGAGAGAGAGGGGCTGACCCTTATAACATAATGAGGGTGGAAGTGAGATAAGGCAGAACGGTCTCAGATGATGCCACAGACCGATGCAGCCTTGGCCATATCAGTGCAGCACCCAAGAGCCCAGCCTGCCTTCGGCGGGGGCGGTGTACTGGGCACCACCCTGAGCCGGTGCAGGGTCTGGGGAGGGCAGTGGTGAAGGTACAGGCATGTTTCTTCCCAGTGTATAGAAGCTGTATTTAACGGTCCTACTGCTTTCTTTCTCCCCAGCTGTTTGGGGGGCTCGTCTGGATCTTGGTGGCCTCCTCCAATGTGCCCCTGCCTCTCCTGCAAGGATGGGTGATGTTCGTGTCAGTGACTGCCTTCTTCTTCTCCCTGCTCTTCCTGGGCCTGTTCCTCTCAGGCATGGTGACGCAGATTGATGCCAACTGGAACTTCCTGGTAAGAGCTTTTATTTTAAGTGCATTCCCTGAAAATGTGGGAGCCTCGTCTCTCATTTCTGTCCCAGGGTGTTCGAGTCCCTGTGCTGTCTTTCTGTTGCCTCTGATTGGGGAGCAGGCCAGATGCAGGGCCAGCTGCAGGGCCATGCGGCTGCCTGGGTGGGCAGTGGGGCCCACCTGTGACACCCCTGCACTGGAAAGACTGAGGGGTCCTTTGCTGCTCCTTCCTGCCTTGTGTGTCTTCCTCAAAATCTCTCAAGTGAATTGCTCTGAGGTGACTGAGCGACTCGCAGATGCTGTGGGGAGATAAATGTTGTCATGTGTGCCTGGACATTGTCCCTTGATTTCTGCTTCAGATGTTTAATTGTACATATTTATTTCAGAAAACAGGTAGTTGTATGTTCTGCTCTCCACATACTTAGAAAGGGAAATGTTGTATATGTACAATAAGTTCTGTTCTAAATTGACAAGAATTCGTGAGCTTTGAAAAATGTCAACACAATTTTTAAATGAGGACACTATTAAATTGGCAGGACAGACCTTGTACCTTCCCGTGTGGCATGTGAAGCCTCTGCAGGCCTGCTTCCTGAGGCCCCATGGACCACGCATCCCAGTCTTCCACGGGCCATGCTCCAGTGAGGTTCATGAGGAGCCCGCATCAGGCTCTGAGCATGCTTTGGTGTTCAGCAACCTCAGCCAGCCTCTAAGGCAGACTCCATGTGTGTTCCTCCAAGTGCAGTGGCATTTCATTCGCAGCTCAGGACAGAGCTGGGGAAATACCAGTTCTTGTTTATTTATAGAGTATAAGAGGTGCTATCATCCCACAGGCTGTCAGCAGAGGACTGTGAATGTGGCTGCCCATTCGTCAGCCAGACAGATGGCCTAGGGAAAGCCAAGACTGCGGACGCACCCTGTGGGGTTGTGAGTCAGGTCCAGCTGGCTTGGTAGCTCTGTAGCCGTGGGCAAAATGGTTCACCTCTCAGATTCAAATTTGTTCTGATTTGTTCCTCTATAAGCTGGTCATCACAATGCCTGCCTCTTCAGGTGCTGTTAGGGAATGATGAGGATGATACATGACCACGCGCTTAGCTGTGTGTCTGGGTCAGGGTGTGCACTTGGGAATCACTTGAGTTCCCAAGAGACGCCATGACTTGCCGTTTAGAACTTGAAAGTCCTGTTTCTTGGGTGCTGATGTAGTTAGTGTGTTCCTATGGTTTGGCCTTAATTTCTCACAAGTGAGGAAATATTTTGAATACTCAGTTGCATGAGAAAGCTTGGAGGTCCCCATTTAGGTTACAGGCAGATACCTAACCTCCTCTGTCTGAGTATCTTTCTTCTGTGGCTGTCACCCCTGTGGCAGGTACATCTCAGAGCCAATGTATGCCCTCGGTCAGGTGTGGAGAGGTGCTCTGATGCAGGCTGGCACTTGGGAACCACTGACCTGGCATGAAAGACCTGACAAACAGTGAAAGGACCTGTGAAGGCCTTCTTGCACACGCCCCATCCTGTAGGAGGAGGGATGAGACACCCAGGGTGGCCAGATATCTGTGTGGTGCAGCTTGCTTGTGGCCGGGAATATGCCTTGAGTGCATGGCCTGATCCTAGGCCTGAGGGGTGCAGTGGGTAATGGGGTGGGCCTGGGAGCAACTCTTGCATAGGGTGAGGTGGCAGACAAAGTGCAGAAACTACTGCACAGGTAATGTGCGAATGACAATTGTGTCAATAGCCCAGAAGGGAGACCCAACATGCCCACATATGTTATCTCAGCACCACCAGGAAGCCGACACTTGAGGGGCAGGCATTTTGGTTTTGGAGTTTGTTGTTTATTGTTGAGGGAGAGAGAAGAGCTGAACCCTATAACATAATGAGGATGGAAGTGAGATAAGGCAGAACAGTCTCAGATGGTGCCACAGACCAATGTAGCCTTGGCCACATCAGCGCAGCACCCAAGAACCCAGCCTGTCCTCGGGGGTTGTATTGGGCACATGACCCAAGCCCTAGTGTCCCCCATGTCGTCACTCATTGGGGCTCCCAGGAAGATGCAGCCTTGGCCAAACACTCGCAGATCCCAGGTCCACCAAAGCAGGGGGTTGTCTACCACCTGGCCATCCCAGCTGGCAGACGTATGTGCCGTCTCTATTGCGGACATGCCATGTGTACCTATCTGTCCATACAGATCTGGAGGCAGCTGCTACGGGGACCGCTCACCTCATCCTGAAGAAACATAAGAGAGATGGGAGAGGGTGCACTCTAGTCCCTTTGTGGTTCTCCTTTTCTCCCTCTTCTGTGCTGGTCGTGCATTCCTGTTCAGCTGGCCTGTTCACCTGTCTCAGAGCTCACCTGGTAGTGTGTCCCACCTTGTAATTGAGGGAGCCAGGACCCTGTCACCATGTCCACATCAGGCAGTGTTGCTGCTCTTGTTTGTGTTTAGTCACAGATGGCGGAGAGAACTCCCAGAGGCCTCAAGTAGAGACCTGCGTTCCACAACACACCTCCCGCCCCCATGGCATGCACGCCAGGGTCACACAGACCCAACGCTGCCCTTCTGCCCCCATGAAACATCAGGGCCACAAGAACTCTGCACTGAATCCTCCAAGGCACACACACCAGGGCCATGCGAGGAGTTCCACACTGCCTTCCTGCCCTTCGTGGCACACGTGCCAAGGCCACACAGATTCCACATTGCCTTCTTGCCCTCCATGGCACAAACACCAGGGCCATACAGACTCCACACTGCCCTTCTGCCCTCCATGGCATATATGCCAGAGCCATGTGGATTCCACACTGCCTTCTTGTCCTCCATGGCACAGATGCCAGTGCCACACAGACTCCACACTGCCCTCCTGCCCACCATGGCACAGATGCCAAGACCTTACAGATTCCACACTGCCTTCTTGCCCTCTGTGGCACAGATGCCAGGGCCAACGTGGATTTAGCACTGTCCCCTGGCCTCCATGGCACACACTCCAGGGCCACACAGACTCTGCCCTGGCCTCCGTGGCATACACTCTAGGGTCACACAGTCTCCACACAGTTCTCCATGGCACACACCAAGGCTATGTGGACTCTGAACTGGCCTCCTGCCCTCTGTGGCACACATTCCAGGGCCACACAGACCTTGTACTGCCCTCCTGACCTCCAACTGCTGCCTCCCCTTGATGTTAGGGTAGCTGCCTTTGTTGGGATGGTGACTCCTGGGCAAAAAGAGTCCACTGTGGCCATGACTTATATGTTCAGTGGGACCCTGCTGTGCTCTCCAGCAAGAGTGCACCTTTTGGGGACCAGGACCTCTGACCATGCAGAGCTTAGAGTTGTGGGGACAAAAATACCAGCATCTCAGCAGGCCATAAGGCATGAGGAGGAGTGGAAAAACTTCTACCAGTGCCCCAGACTCCTATTCTCCCAATGGGGACACATCGCCATGCAAAAGACTCCTCAGTCCCTCTGTTACCTCCTGAGGGATAGCTGCTGCCACCCAGGCTCCCAGCTGCACCCTCCCAGCCACCCCCTGTGCCTTGCATCAGCAGCTTGTGAATGGTGCAATGGATGACGCAGCTGCAGCCTGACGCCCACTCCATGCCTCCTTTGCTGAGACATAGACTCCCAGCCCAAGGTTGTCACATGGGTCCTGTGAAGCAGGTGCTCTGGGGGTTTTGGATGGAGGTGATGGCCAAGACTTTGAGAGGAGGAAGAGTGACTCTGTGCCTTCACTGGGTCCACTTGTGAGAATAGCCCTTACTGTCATCTGCTTCTGTAAAAACCAGCCGTGTCGCCTTCCAGGAGGGTAGGGCTGTTTTCATCCCTGACTGCAAGTGGCCTTGGGGGACTCAGTGCTACCTCTGTAGCTGGCACATTCAGCATGCTATGGTACAGAAGCTGGGGAAGCATTAGCCACCTGGGGTCAGGCCGTGGGGCATTTTCATGCCATCCCCAACCATCAGCACTCTGTCATGTACCCACAGCGCCTGTGATGGGGTGACCGATGACAGACTGGCCAGCATCACCTGGGGATCACTTTGTCTATGTATTTCCATGGTGATGCTCTTGGGGCCCCAAGTGAAAGGTAAACCTTCCTATTCCATGCTGTGTTCCTCCCTTGTCTCTGAGTCTTGCCTCTTATTTCTCCCACAGCCCCACAGGCCACACACCATGGACCATCATTCCCTGTGCATTCTCACTCCAGCCACCTCTCCTTCCAATCAAGGTGTGTGCCATCTGCACCTTTGGCCCCACCGGCTGGAAGCATCCTCCCCACCCTCCCACCCCCAGCCAGTCCTGCTGTGGCTGCCCCATACCATGTAATCCCAGCCCTCTATTGCAGACACAGACATGCCAGCTGTCCCCTCAAGAAAGCTCAGGGCTTTCCTCTTCCTTTGGACACAAGGGAACCTCTCCTCTGTGTAGCCACAGAATGCACTGAGCGGGGAAGGTGGCTCCAAAATGAGGGTGACCTGGAAGCCCAGGCACTGCCCACAGGTTGTCTCTTGCTGTCTAGCTGCCTTCGCTGACCTCAAGGTGCCATTCTTTCTCAAAAGGATGCCACTGGCTGCCTGACCCTGTGAGTCAGTGCCTCCGTGTAACCCAGCACCCACATGCAGCACTGGGTGCCTGGTCACAGGGTGTTTCTTCTCTGCAGACACAGCAGAACCCTAGGAGCCACTTTCAGAGGTTTCAATCCCCCACTGAAGGCTCCACATGTGGCCCTGAGCTCCAGGGCCTGCAGAGTGACTTCCACACTAGCAGTGCTGCCACTCTACACTGCAGCCTTTCCCTACACCCAAGAGTGTTTGTGACCCTAGCTGGCTGGGTCGGGTGACCTGAACATGTGGAGTCAGGAGAGCAGCAAGTGCACCGGATGGCAGCATCTAGGAAGATAAGAGGGGAGGAAACAATTGGATGGGGGAAGTCTTGAAACCATGGTTTAATTCAGATGCCCCTAGAAGGAAGGAGTGCAACTGGCAGGAACAGAAGGGCAGGGCCAGGGCAGGGGCAGGGATGGGACAAGGGTTGGAGCAGGGGTAGGGCAGGGGTAGGGCAGGGGCAGGGCCAGGCTCAGGGCCAGGGTAGGCAGGCATTGTTCAGGAGGAGTCTGTCAAGGCAAAGGCAAAGGGTGTGTAGAGAAGCATCCTTGTTCTGTGAAGTGCTCCCCAAGGACTGAGCCAGGCCACATGGCTGACAGTCAGAGGCATGCATGGTGAGGAAGGTGAGACCCCAGTCACCAGGAGTGGTGGGTACGTTGCCACACTTTTTCCTTTCCCTTATAAGAAAAATGAGATATTCCTGAGGATGCACCTAGTAAATTAAATGAGTGCCTAGCGGCTGCAAGTATATTTTCTCTTAATTTGCATTACTAATTAAGATCCAGCTTTCATTCCATTTAATCCCCGAAAGTAGTAACATTTGAATTGGGCCTTTGACCTTCACCTACCATCTGTTGAATAACCACAGATATGTGAGCATCTCTTCTATAGAGTAGATGTGTGGCCAGCATGTGACACTCTTCTTAAGTCATTTGATGAGTCTATTTACAGATGAGAGGTGTTCAACAGATAGCATTTGTAGAGTTACACCTTTGTAGTTCTTACCCTACTAGGTTAAATTTGTTCTAGCAGATTATTCTAGACAGAAGAACAATTCCTTTGGTCGATATTGGTTGCTGCATGGGCATTTACAAAGCCAGTGCAGTGTTCTCACTTGTAATATTGCTATTTCAAGAATAGAAGTCAATAATAATAGGTTTGATAGAGAGGAGAGGAAGTAGGTTTTGAAGGGAACTCTTGAACACTGGGAATGTGAATTAGTACAGCCATTATGGAAAGCAGTATGGAGGCTCCCCCAAATTGAAAAATGGAGCTACCATATGCTCCAGCAATCCCACTGCTGGGTATATATCCAAAGGAGATGAAGTGAGTAAGAGATCTCTGCACCCCCATGTTCGTCATAGCCAGGATATGGAATCACCCTGAGGGTCCATGGGGGAGGGTGGATAAAGAAAACATGCTGTATGTACATAATGAAATACTAGTCAGTCATGAAAAAAGAAGGAAATGCTGTCATTTGTGGATGAACCTGGAGGACTTCATGCCAAGTGAAATAAGCCAGACACTGAAAGACCAAAACTATAGGATCTCCCCTGTATGTGGAATCTAAAAATGTTGAACTCACAGAAGCAGAGAGTAGAATGGTGGGTACCTGGGGTGGGTGGGGAGAGGGGAGTAGGGACATGCTGGTCAAAGGGTACAAAATTTCAGGTAGACAGGAGGAATAAGTTCAGATCTATCGTGTAGCTCGAAAACTGTAGTTAACAATAATGTATCGTATTCTTGAACATTGCTAAGAGAATAGATTTTAAATGTTCTCACTACAAAAAAAATGATATGTATGTGAGGTAATATGTATGTTAGCTCCATTTAGCTGTTCCACTATGCACACACATTTTGAAACATCATATACATGATAAATATAACTAGTTTTTATCAATTAAAATATTGTGTTTTTTTTTAAAGTGGACTTTGGAACCAGATAGGTATGTGGTTTGAATTCTCCCTGCAAAAGTTAATGCTTATGTGACTTTGAACAGTCATTTAACTGACAAGAAAGAAGAAAGCCCGTGTTTGTAAAATGGGGCAAATCAGGGTGGTTATAAGGATGGGTGATAACACACATGTAGTGCCCGGCATGTCTATGGGATCTGTTAAAATTGAGCAGCATGTGTGGATGGCATGTTAATTCAGGTCAGATGCTGTGAATTTTAATAGCATTGAGTTTCACATTGATGCCAACAACATGCAAAACAACCTAATAAATAACTGAATTCTGATACTTTTGTAGAAGTATACATTATGTTATTTGTTTTTAGGGGAATATATGGATATGTCTTACTGAATCTTATGATTTAATACATCTCCTATATTTTCCAGTGTAAGGGATGAGGATCTAATGATAAAAGTAGTATTGATCAAAAAAATTATAAAATAGTATATGTAAATATGTAATAACTGTTAATTTAAAAGTTATTTAAATGCTGTTTTACTTGAATTTGAAAGACAGTGTATTATTCCTTTTTTATATTATATTAATTAATATTTATCCCTATGACATATATGAAATTATATATTGTATTATAAGGACAGTGGCCACTGTGCATTTAGGACATGCCAGTTGATTTTCATTTGGACTTTCCTAGCTAGGTTTTGCTAAAACAGCCAAAGTAAACAGCGAGTGTGGCTGATGGCGTATCTAGATGCTTTGTCCTTGCCCAATAGACTTCACCATTTAAGGTAAGAGACAGAGCGCACCTTACCTCTCACTGTTGTGGCCTCTTCCCCAGGATTTTGCCTACCATTTCACAGTGTTCGTCTTCTACTTCGGGGCCTTCCTGCTGGAGGCTGCAGCCACATCCCTGCACGATCTGCACTGTAATGTCACCCTGACCGTGCAGCCACTTCTGAGCGACAACCAGTACAACATCAACGTGGCGGCCACGGTGAGTGTCCGGCGAGTGACCACGGTGTCCATAGTGTCACGGGTGCTGAGATACTCCTCCAGCAGTAGTGGTTGTCTTTAATGATGGCTGAAATGGGGATCATCCAGGCTGTTGACCCTACAGCAGCCCTGTGGGTCAAGTGCTGGTGTCCCCCAGGTGGGAGTGATTGAATGCACTCGGGGAGGCCAGCATGTTGTGGGGTCCTGGCACACTTGGCACTTTTCACTTTGTGCGTCCTACTTCTTAGAACTCGCACACATGGTGAGGGAAAGCCATTCCCAGCTGTGCTCCTTGGTATTAGATACCTATCATTTATTTTCATTGGGTGACTATTGATGATGAACCACCCGGTGACAGGTAACTCACAGGTGCTGGGACAGGGCACATGAGCTGCTGTTCCTGCCACTGGTGACACCTCAGGGGAGCACAGGAGGGACTGTACAAGTGAAATGCCTTCCTTGGGGTGTTTTCTGGATGTTGTATCCTTTTTAACTCGTATACTGGGATAAATCTGTCATCTTGTATTGACATAGGTAATTTGAAGAAATTATATATTGTTTTTGTCATGAGAAATCATTTTAAGATGTCAGAAGTCTAAATTATTTTCTGAAATGTCTTGATTTTAATATGAATGTGTAGCAAGTTCGTGACCCTAGCGTTGTACCATTTTATCCAGGTAGCCTATGAATAGCCCAGGACTCCCCAGATAGTCCTTGCCATCTGTCCTACACAGAACTGTGTAGGAGAACTTTCTTCAGCAATGGGAACTTCCTGTGTCTGTGCCATCCAGTATGGTGGCTAGTATCCACATGTGACTGTTGAGCAATTTAAATGACTAAACTAGAATTAAATGACTTAGCTAGAATGACTAAAGAACTGAATTTTCAGCATAGTCAATTTTAATAAATTTAAAGAATCACATGTAGCTGGTGGTCTAGAACCTGGGCTTCAAAAGGTAGAAGACAGGTGATTTCAATACCTATTAGAAGTTTCCCAGGCCTCTGTTAGCATTTGCCAAAAATTATTGAGTGTCCACAATGAATGAGGGAGGCATGGTTCTAGTTTTGAAAGTTTGGCGTATAGATCAGTGATTTTTAACACTTTCTTGTATAAGAGAGCCCAGTAAACATTGAAGATGAAAACACAGCCACCCTGCTGCAGTGGGGAGAGGGCCTTGAATGATGCCCTCCTCTCCTTGTAAAGTCCCCTCTGCCCCTCATCATGCCTGAGGCATTTTCATAGAATCTTTGTGATCCAGGGATCTCAGTTGGAAAACCACTGGTTTTAACAACTTTACAAAGCAAGGTTCACAAACTTGAAGTTGACCTTTTTCCTTTCTATTCGTCATCAGTTCCCATTGGATTTTCCTACATGTGTTTCTTCCAGTTCCTTCTTTTTCACAGTTCAGGTTGGATTCTTATTACCTCTCTTGGATAATTGAAGTAGCCCCAAATTAATCTATTGGTAGTCACACTAAGATCCTCCTTTCACAAGAATAGTAGATGTTCAAGTACTTAATGGCTGGCTGATGTCATTAATTTATCACCAACATACCTTTGCCTGAGGGCCCAGTTTTTCATGTTCTTCCATCTAGCTGTTTTTCTTCTATGGCTTTGTCTCCATAACACTTCCCTTTCTCCTTCACTTGATGCTGCCTTGGTTACCCACCACTTGCTTCAAGTTCTACATGAAGTCTCATTTCATTCATACACCCCAGGCAAAGTAACCCTCTAGCTTGAGTTTTAGTAGAATTAAATGTGTTGGCCATTTATTTGTGGCATTAGGTTGAGTCCTTAACTTTTATTTTTCTTCCAGGATACGTGAGAGAGAGGAATCTTTTTCCACTAATAGATATCAAAAGCCATTGTTCTCATTCCAAGGACAATATCTAGATTAAAATGTGTTTGAGAAACAAGCTACAGAAGGGTGGAAGGAATAGCTGAACAGAATTCATGTGAGGGTACATCTAATATTCCTTCCCACAGCTGGAATGTCCTGGCTGAGAAGCTCTATACCTCCTCTCAGTGTTTCATCACATTGAACTGCTTTTGCTTTGTCTTATAGTTTTCTATGGATCATAAACCTCAAAGGGTGAGAATGGTGTCTGCTACATGTTTATAGGTACCACATGTAGCGAGGTACACACTGTGCTAAAGACATCCTCATAAAACACTTAGGACAGAGGCTCACAGCAGAGTGCAGGTGTGCCTGGAGATGATGTCGCACACAGGAAAGAGCCAGCCTGGTCTTTGTTTTCCATGTGCTGCCCTTGCTGAGTCCTAACGTCACTTTCCATTGTCATAGAAATCATTGAATGCATCCTCAGTTTCTCAGGTTGCTGGCCTCTTTGGCCATGAAACCACCGTATGAATAAATACCTCCTCCTGAATTTTGAACACAGAGCCTGGGGTTTATGAGTACTTGATAAGTGAGTCCAGGATATGAGACAGTGTTCACTGTTGAGAACATTATCAGGGCTAGAATGTTTGAAGGAAAGGGTAATGGCGTGAGGAGACAAAGTAGTCCATTGTCAAAAAACATCAACATGAAATGTTATACATATTCAAGTATCTTTAAGTAGATTGGTCTGCTACAGCTGTTCCTTAGGACAGTGTTTTAAGTTTCTGTTGTAAATCTGATGTGGATTTTTGTTTCTTTTTTCTTAGATTTTTGCCTTTGTCACGACAGTATGCTATGGCTGCAGCTTGGGTCTGGCCTTACGAAGATGGCGACCATGACACTCCTGAGAAACCAGCCACCGTGCGTTAGGTTCTTTTGTCTACTTTGTATGTCTGATTCATGTGAATACTGTTTTGTCCAGATATGACAACATCCCAAAAGTAATTTGCTTAGTATGGAGAGAGACTCTAAGTTCAAGTTTTGTATATTTCATGGATGAGATGTTAATTTTAGTATGATATAAACATAGAAATGGCCTTTAATTTACATCTCTCCCTTCCTTTTTCCTTCTAAAAATTTCTCTTTATAGCCATAAAATGCAAAGTTATTGTTCATGAAAAATTAATATCTTTTTTGTTTGGTTGCTGAGTAACCTGAACCTTAATTTTCATAGGTAACTAAAACTCTCTTTTAAAAAAAGTCAAATAATCCTCTCATTGCACTGAATCTTTTAGTGTAAAACAGAGATCGGCACACTTTTTCTATAGTGGCCAGATGGTTAATATTTGAGGCCTCTCAAGTCATATAGTTTATGTCACAACCATTCAGTTCTGCTATTGTAGTATGAAAGCAGCTATTGACAGTACTTACATGAATGAGTGTGACTGTGTTCTCATAAAACATTATTTACAAAAATGAGAGGAGGCTGGACTTACCCATGGGCTGTGGTTTGTTGACTTCTGGTGTAAAGCCTTAGTGATATGTTCTGTTTTTTATTGAACTGATTGTGAAAGTTATAAACCTAACTAGACAAGCCACATGCTATTTGGCCTTATTATGCAATAATCACATTGCCTTTGTGTTAATGGTCAAATACTTACTCTGGTGGGGGGGTGGGTCATATGGTTTTTCATACTAACTTAAGCAGAGTCCTGGGTATAGGGAAAAGTAATTTATGAAGTGAACTCTAGTTGCTCAATCAAACTAATGATCTCCTAACAACTGAGCAAGATTCTCATCTGAGAGTCCTTAAAATGAGATACCCAGAGATCATTTATCACAACAGGAACCGGTCTCTAGCTCCTTATGTCTCACTTTAAATTTATTTATGCTTCAGAATACAGCTGGTTGTCCTGTGCATGAGCATACAAATATTTATGTGTGGTATGTAAGGCTTTTTCAAGTAGAGTTCTCAGAAGAGCTAACTTTTAACTTCTATTTTGCATTACTTTCTGAGTTAAATATATAAATAGATTATTAAATATACCATAAAGTTGCAGATTCTTATACACTTTAGTAATATCCCAGATATCTATAGTTTTTGCACTGGTAACAGACAAAATCAATTTTAAAGCAATAGCCAGCATATAAACTGTCTCTGGCTGAATAGCACAGACAAGTATTTTAACTTACCTGTAGAGGACCTGGTTAGGGAAAGATGCCAAAATGTTTTGAGTGGAGACCCATGTCAGAGTGAAGCCACAGTCCCCTCATACAAGGGCTTTGGAATGGGGCTTTTCTGTTCCCTCAGTGCTGGCTGAGGTCTCCCTGGTGGGTGCCACGTGGAAGCCAGGCTCTTGGAGTTCATAGAACATGGAACAACCACATCACTCCCTACGGGTGCCATGTGGAAGCCAGGCTCTTGGAGTTCATGGAACATGGAATAATCGTGACTGAATAGCATGACTACTATGTCTACTATTTGACCTCAGGGGTCAAATGCTCTTTATCTATTAATCCTCTAGGAAGAAGAACCTTGTTAGAGTTTGGTTCATGATAAAATTATAAAGACAAAAGATGTATTTCAATATGTGGCTTGAGGAAGTCAGGTTTCTGACTTTCCACTTGGGTCAGTTCTTTTCTAGAATATCCTACTTCCTTGGTTTTTCTAACTCCATTCCACATACCTAGGTCTGTATTATGAATTTCATTTTACAAAGTCATAAATGTGCCATAAAGATATATATAGTCCATTCTAGTTGGAATTATTCAAAGTTAGTCTGCTAGAATTTAGTTGCAAGATTTTTATTTTTGTTCTCAAGATATAAAACAGGTTTTTGCTTGGTGGCATTAAATTAAATGATTTTTATTAAAATGCTTTGGTGGCACTTTTGTAAATGGATTGCTTCTAGACCATTAAGAACCAAGCCTAAGACTCATCTAACTGTGAATACTTGGATTGCAGTAATCACATTCTAGATTTGTGAGGTGAGTGACAAAGCACTTGAACAAAAAGTATGGCATTTAAGAATGTATTTACACATCTTGGCTGTAAAAATGAGAAAATGTCGGTTGGTTTTAAAATCTGATAACTCCGTGATGAAAAGAAATTTATTTTGTAAGTGTTATAACTCTAATAAAGTATTCATTTGATAATCTCTTTGGTCATCTATTTTTTATACCATTCACTTTGAAATTCAGTTAAAGGTGTGATATAAACTTGACAGAGTTTCTAGACTTAAAACATATAAAAGGGTTCTGTTTTAAACATGCCTGTGTAAAAGACAGTCTCTCAGGAAATGTCAGTGTATCTTTTTTCTTTGATGAAGTTGAAAGAGTAAGTCTTTGAAAGCAATATTGGAAAGGAAATTTAAATGAGAATTCTATTCCAATTTATTTAAAAAGCATTTATACAGTGCTTCATGTGTGCCAGGCAGTGTTCTAAGCCTTTTTTAAAATAGCAGCTCATTTAATCCTCCTCAGAAGATCCCTCTGGGCGGGTACATTCATCTCATTTTAAAAGTTAGGGTCCTAAAATGCAGACCTGAAGAAATACCCAGTAACTCCCAGCAGGTCGAGGGGAATTTCAACCCTGCAGAAGGGCTCCAAAATGCAGGATCTTAATTTCCACCTGTCCTTTAGTTCTCCCAGATTTTATATATATATCCAGAAATGTGATCTCTCTCCTAGTGAAATCCTAACAGAATGCTTGACAACATAATTGTTACAATAGATGTCCCCTTTTAGAGTGTCCTTGTCATAACGAAGGACTTAGGATTTTAGCTGGTAAGAATTTAGGTCATACCTGCATGGTGGAGAAAGGCTGGGCTGCTCCAGTCCGCACAGGTCCCAGGTGCCTGGCTCCTTCACATCTCTCTATCCACTGGTGCTGGTGGGGACTTTAGGGCTTCAGCCTGCCGCATCTCATTCCATCCAGAGATCCTTGGCCCAGGTCATCCAGGCTTCCTGGCCATCCCAGCACTGACTTCAGAAGGGGTCTCTTGACACTCTTGATACACACACTGTGAAGTTCCCACTTCTGCATATTCCCAAACCTGGAATTCCATGTCATGTCACAAAGGCTGTGAACAATATGTGAATTTGTGCAGCAGGAGGCCCCTTCACGCGTTCATGACAGAGGGATCATCTTCAGAATTCATGTGCTTTGTGGCTCCTTGAAAGTCCAACTTTCGGGGAGACACCTCTTATCAACAAGGGTGCCTGAACGAAGCATATTTGTATACCTAACCCTTAACTGTACCCCACAATATCATAATAAAAAAATATTGATTTAAAAAAAAAGTCCAGCTTTGTAAAATGAGCATGTTAAGTACAGGCTTGTTGAGGTCAGTCCCTGTTCCTCTCCCTGGAGCAGTTCTTGTATTCTTCTCCCCACATGGCTGCCTTTCCTGCCCTCCTTGGGTCTTCCCCAGAGAGGCCCCACCTGAGAACCATGTCACACTGGACTGTCACATCCACACTCCCTGGTGTCCTTTCCCATGTTTTTCTCTAAGGTTCTGTGGCATGTAGCTTATGTGTAGTATATGTGTACATGGTATTAATTTACATAAGCACTTGGTCCTCTTAACGGGAATGTCGGGTTTGTGGAGAGGAGTCATTTGCTGTATTCACAGTCATATCTCCAGTGCCTAGAATGGAACAAAACAGAGAGCAGGTGCTCTGTAGATGTGTATTGAGTGAGTGGGTGAATATTAATGGTAACACCTTACTCTTACGTTCCCATCAACATAGTCTGTAAATGTTTGTCTTGTGGGCCCTTAAAAATTTCTGGTATAAAATGGCTAGGTGTTCTTAACCTAGGTCTGGATGCCTTATAGTTTCTCTGGTAATTAAATATATATGAGTTGTAAAAGTACCATATAATCAGTTCTAAATATCAGAGGGATTATACATGTAAAAATTAGCATCCCTTCTAAACTCATTTGATCTATATTCCAACTTTTTTCCATGAGCAAATTTGTCACTGTAGACTCAACTGACTTAGAAAATCTTCAAAACATCACCAGCACTAAGGATTTGTGGTCAAAGACTGTCATTTTTCTATAATGATCATGAGATGGAGGACTATGGCTAAGTTTACATCAGAGGCATTGAAGGGTGTTACTCTGACCCTATGATGAGTAGGGCATCTGGGTGTGTGATGTATGTTAGAAATCATTTTCATTTTCCATGTCTCCCAGCACCAGGCTTTATTCATGGTGTTGGATAAGAGTTGGTCTGGCTGAAGGACATGTTGAATTCCCTCCCGGTGGTTTTAATGCATCAGTCTTAGGATTCCCGATGTCCTGAGTCAGGACAGTGTAGCTGCAGCAATGGAACATTGTTGGCAGTTGAATATGCCATTTTACTGAATACACCAAAATTTCTGCATGGATGTTTTTGGAATATAAATAATCTTTTTTATTTATATCATAAGTGTTTAAAATATTTAACAGTGATTTTCTAAAGAATTGCTGTTTTTAGGAAACATGAAATACATGAACTGGTGTCCACTCGTCTTCAGTATTAGTAAAGCATGTTAGTTTTTAGATCATAAAATGTAGTTAAAATATTTCCTCTGTCACCTTAGGTAATTTTGCATATTTCTTAAATGCCCATACTCTATTCTGGAGGCCACAGGAATTAAATAATGACTTGGAGGTCAACAAACTGGATGTATCTCCTTTACCAGTGTGATGGAAGAGTTAACTAAGATAACGAGGTGAGGTGTCTCACACAGGATCTGCAACCAAAGGCATGAAATTGTGGTTTCCCAGTAAGATGTTCAGTCCTTCATTTTTTCAGTGACAGAGTTGCCTAAATCTCAAAAATTAGCTCTTGACCAAATATACTTTTATAGAACAAATATGTCTCAACAAATAAATATGATACTATATGCTCTTTCTTTTCCAATATGAGGTGACTAAGTTGCCCAGATAGTTTTTTGTTTTTGTTTGTTTAACTGTAACAGTTATGCTTTGAATATACATTAGGAAATTATAACTTGTATGTTTTTATGGCTAGTACTCAGCCTGATAATAAATATTTGAGTAGGAAGAAATAGTTCATTTGGCATCTGTAGGACTTGAGGTGAGTTGCTTCCCATCTTTAAGCCCTTTTGGGGACACACTGCCCTATAGAAGTCTCCGGTTCAGTGTGTGTGTGGTACCCAGGAAACTGGCACCTCTCATGTACCACTCTGACAAAGAACTGATGGTGATGTCTTGGGACTCCAAATATTGATGTCAACTCAGTCCTTGTGTCCAAAAACTCTCAGATTGCCTTGTCATCCCCTGTGACCCAGTATCAATCACTTAACAAATTATCATACATCTCTGTGGGGAAGGACTAAGGCAATCGTTAGAGTACGTACTTTCCCTGGTGTCACAGGGTTCTTTCTTGTGGGGAACCAGCCACCTCTTCAGTCAATAGCTTCTGAGTCTTAAAACTGATTCAGATTTGTGAACTCAGCAAGAATACATGAGCCATTGCCTAAAGCTTCCTGCTTACCCCTTTTGTCTTCTTTTTATGATTTCTGCCCCTGAGGTGCCAGTTTCTGGTAACCATCTGCATGAATTCCTGTGGGTCATGGCTCTGTGACTGTCTCTCCCATAATGCACAGCTCTCCAGATAGTGGTTAAGCGTCACCATCGAGACTCCTGCCTTGGGGGTCTTCATTGTTGAGTACAGCTTTGTGAATGCCTTTCCTACTGTCAGTCTTGGTCTTTGGAGAAGATCCATAACTGATCTTAATTCCTCTCATCAGAGCCTTCCTGAGAGCACAGTAGACAATATGTCCTCTAGGTCAGGAGTCCCCAACCCCCAGGCCATGAACTGGTACTGGTCCATGGCCTGTTAGAAATCAGGCCACACAGCAGGGGTTGAGTGATGGGTGAGCAAGCGAAGTTTCATCTGTATGTACAGCCCACTCCCCATCGCTTGCATTACTACTTGAGCTCCACCTCCTGTCAGATCAGCACTGAAAAGCTTGCTTCCATTTCCAACATCCTATCTTTGTGAAGCAGAGTTTTCTGCAGTGAAAGCAATCAAAGCAAGATTACAGAGTAGAATGGACATAAGCAACACACTTCAGGTGTCAGTGTCTTCCATCACTCACAGGTGGGACCATTTAGTTGCAGGAAAACAAGCTCAGGGCTCCCACTGATTCAGCATTATGGTGAGTTATGTAATTATTTAATTACATATTAGAATATCATAATAGAAATAAAGAACACAATAAATGTAATATGCTTGAATCACCCCCCCACTCCCTACCATCCCCAGTCCCTATTGCCAAAAAGGTTGGGGACCATTGCTCTAGGCCTTCCTATGGAATAAAATCTTTTGAAAAATATTCTGCCCTCACATATATCATTCCAATATGCCTACTTCCCTGAGTTTCTTAATCTTATACTGTGTCCCTTGGCAATTTAGTTGCATCATCCATAATTTCTTCCTATCCAGTCTTAAGTTTTGCTTTGCTTGATCAATCATCTTTAAAATCAAATCCGACTGGTACTCCCCTTGCTCCTATGACATGCTAGTAAATTTTTGCAACTGCTTTGGGCATAATCTCTTTGTTCTTTAATAGCCCCAGCATAAATCCAGCTGGGATATCCTGGAATTAACCATGGTATCAGCTTGGCAGTCAGGAGAAGAGTGGGGACATATCCTGAGGAGAACCCGCTGCATGGGAAAAGTCCTAGCAATTCCTAGGGAAGGATGAGTCACCTCCGCAGCCCTGAAGGTTCAGGAGCTTCTGGAGAGCCTTGGTCTTTGAGGGTGTTCATGTTTTAGGCTCCATTCCATGTTTTAGGGTCCCAGCTCTCCCCACGAGGGAGAGCTGAATTTAATACTGCAGTTTGCCCCAACAGAGCAATACCTGTGAAGCTGAATAGTTCTTGGGTGTGCTCTTCAGCTGTGCTTCTCCTGGTCTGCAGGATTGGGTCCTCTTTACGAACTGCAAATAAGCCCTCTGCTGTTACGTTTAGCTCTCACTGTCAGGAACTCTCAATTTCTCATCCTTCTGTACGGCGTCAGTGAAACTAATCAACTGCTTCTGTTTTCTGTTTCTAATTTAATGTGTTTTTCTCTCTGTGTATTCAAAGACCTGAACCATCACATTGGCTTAGTGTTCCCATTCATGTTTACATTCC